AGGGATATTGATGTCCATTGACTGTTGGTTCTTGTTATTTTGGATTTATTGGTGGTGGTGTCATCGTGTGTGGATTTCACCCTTCTTTTTCTTTTCATGTTTGGTAAAGTGGGATTATCTATTGCCTATGTTTTAGTGAGTGTAGTTATCTTTGTTGGGTTGGAGTTTTCCTTACAGAACTTTCTGTAAGGCTGGATTTGTGGATATGTATTGTTCAAATCTGGTTTTTTCATGGGATATCTTGTTTTCTCCAACTATAGTGATTGACAGCTTTGCTGGTTACAGTAGTTTCGGTTAGCATCCATGTTCCCTTTGTGTTTGTAGGGCATCTATCCAGGACCTTCTGGCTTTCAAATTTTCCATTGAAAAGTCAGGTGTAATTCTGATAGGTCTCTCTTTATATGTTACTTGGCCTTTTTCCTATGCTGCTCTTAATATTTTCTCTTTATACTGTAGGTTTGGTGTATTGATTATTATGTGTCGAGGGGACTTCTTTTTGTGGTCCAGTCTTTTTGGTGTTCTCTAAGCTTCTTGTACTTTCATAGGCATATCCTTCTGTAGGTTGGGGAAGTTTTCTTCTATGATTTTGCTAAATATGTTTTCCGTAATTTTGAGTTGTTTTTCTTCACCTTCTTCTACACCTATTATTCTTAGGTTTGGCCTTTTCGCGGTGTCCCATATTTCCTGGATATTTTGTGTTAAGTATTTGTTGGACTTGAGATTTTTCTTTGGTTGATGACTGTGTATCCTCTAACGAGTCTTTGGCAACTGAGATTCTCTCTTCCATCTCTTGAATTCAATTGGTTATACTTATGTCCTTAGTTCTTGATTGCTTATTCAGTCTTTTTATTTCCAGCACCCCCTCATTCTATGTTTTCTTTATTGTTTCTATTTAAGCTTTCATGCCTTGAACAGCTTAGATTGTTTCCTTCACTTGTTTGGTTGTTTTTTCTTCGCTTTCTTTAGATTCTTTAAGAGAATTGTTTATTTCTTGAATTATTTTTGCTTGTTTTTTCTTCTGTTTCTTTAAGAGATTTTCTTGTTTCCTCTTTAAGGGACTCTATCATCTTCATAAAATAGTTTTTAAGTCTTGCTCTTCTTCTGTGTTGTGCTTTTCAGATCTTGATGCTGTGGCATACCTATATTCTGGTGGTGTCATATTGCCCTTTCTGTTGTTGAGTGTGTTCTTATTCTGTCTTTTTCCCATGTCTTTTTCCAGTGGGTGCAGATGGGGTCTCTCTATTTCCTCTTGTCATCCAATGGTCTAAGTGGACCAAGACTTCATTGTTTGTAGCTCTGGATGTTCTTGCCTCTCCTAATATTCTCCTCCATCAGCAGAGGTCAGGGCTCAGCAGTGGTCAGTGCAGATGAGAGGGAAGGAAGAGTGAGGAGTTTCCAGACTCATGGAGATCCTCACTCTCTGGGTGCGTCCACTCTATGCCAGGCCCAGGCCCAAAGAGATATGGGAGGTGATGGCAAGAGTTGGGCAGGAGTAAAGAAGCTAATAAACAAGGAGGTCCCTAAGAGAGACATACATGGTCCCCTGGAGAAGGGGAGAGGTTCAAGATCTGGTGAGCAAATTGGGATCATGGGAAGAGGGGGTAGGGAGCTAGGAGAATGAGAAGGGGAGAAGAAGAGGGATGCTGAGGACATGAGGGAGCAGAAAGTATGAGTCAGGGGAAGAATACACGATAACAAGAATGGCGCTATCATAATAGAGGGAGACATTTCTGATTTACAGAGAAATCAGGCAATAGGGAAATCTCTGGAGATTTACAAAGATGACACCAGCTAACTATCTCAGCAACAGAGGAGAGCCTACCTTAAATGCCCTCCCCTGATTATGAGATTGATGACTGACTTATATGCCTTCATCCAGCAGCTGGTGGAAGTAGAAGCAGACACCCATAACTAATCACCGATCTGAAGTGGAACCCAGATGCAGAGAAGGACCAGTGAAGAGCACAGAAGTCCAGACTAGGTTGGTGAAACACACAGAAACAGCTGACCTGAACATCCAGGAACTCTTGCTCCCCAGTCTGATAGCTGGAATACCAGCATGGGACTTATCCAGACCCCAGGAACATGGGTTTCTGTGAGGAAACCTCAGAAATCTATGGGACCTCCTGTAGAAGCCCAGTATTTATCCCTAGCATAGGTATGGATTTTGGGAGCCCATTCCATATAAAGGAATACTCCCTGAGCCAAGACACAGTTGGGTGGGGCCTAGGCCCTATCCCAAAGGATACGAAAGACTCTGATGACACCCTATGGAAGGCCTCATTATCCAGGGGGAGCAGAAAAGATATGTGACTGATAAGGTTTTAGTTGGGTGGGTAGGAGAGAACGGGTGGGAGAAGGGAACTGGGATTGTCATGTAAAACAATCCTGTTTCTAATTCAAATAAAAAAAGTTGGGAAAAAAAGAGTTGGGCAGGAGTTGGGGGTCCAGAGGGGACACTTACCTCAGCAGAGGTCAAGGTGGCCTCTTGTGGAGTTTTTAAAGATCTCTGTTTTAATTATTTTTGTATTGTTTTCTTTGTTTCTATTTTATTGGTTTCAATCTTGAGTTTGCTTATTTCTTGGCTACTTCTCCCCATGGGTGTGCTTACTTCTCTTTGTTCTAGAACTTTCTGGTTTGCTGTTAAGTGGTTAGTAAGAGATCACTCCAATTTTTAAAATACAGGCACTTAGTAATAGAATCTTTTCTATTAGCAATGCTTTCATGGTGTCTCATAAGGTTGGGAATGCTGTGTATGAATTTTCATTGAGTTTAGTATGCCTTCAAATTTTTCTGAATTTCATTCGTGACCCATTTTTCTTTTTCTTTCTTTCTTTTTTTGTTTGCTTTTTCAAGACAGGGTTTCTTCGTGTAGTAGTTCTACATGTCCTGGCACTTGCTTTGTAAACCAAGCTGGCCTGAAACTCCAAAAGATCCACCTGTATCTGTCTCCCTCCTGAATCTTGGGATTGAAGACCTGAGCCATCGCTACCTGGCATGAAGCACTTTTCATTCATCAGTGTTGTTGCTCAGTTTCCATGAGTTCATGTGCTTTCTCTTGTTTTTGTTATTGATGATAGCAAGATTTAATCTGTGGTGGTCAGATTCGGTGCAGGGAGTTCATTTCAATTTTCTTGTATCTGTTGAGTCTTGCTTTGTGTTCAACTATGTGATCAATTTTGGAGAAACTTTATCAGGAGCAGAGATATAGGTATATTCTTTGTTTTGTTGAAAAGGTCTGTATATATCTGTTAAGTCTACTTTGGTTTATGAGGTCTGTGAACTCAAGCATTTCTCTATTTAGTTTTTGTCTAACTTATCTGTTGGTGAGATTGTGATACTGAAGTCTCCCACATCCAAAGTATGAGGTTCACTGTGTGATTTAAGCTGTAACAGTGTTTCTTTTGCAAACTTTTCTCCTTTGTGTTTGATTTGCATAGATGATAAGAATTGCAATGTCCTGTAGGTAGGTTTTTAATTTGAGGATGGAGTATCCTTCCCTATCTCTTCTAATTGGTTTTGTTTTGGGTCTATTTTCTTAGATATTAAAATGGCTACACAAGCTTTCTTCCTTGATCCATTTGCATGGAACATCATTTTCCAACCCTTTACTCTGATGTAATATCTGTCCTGGATGTGGAGGTTTGATTCTTGAATGCAGCAGAAGTATAAATCGAGTTTTCCCATCAATTGTGTTAGTCTGTGTCTTTTTATTAGGGGATTGAGGCCAGTGACATTGAAAGAGGTGAGTGACTAATGGTTGTTGATTCCTGACATTTTGTTGTTCCTAGTGGTGCAGTGTGTGTGTGTGTGTGTGTGTGTGTGTGTGTGTGTGTGTGTGTGTGTGTGTGTGTGTGTGTGTGTTCATTCATTGTTTTGATTTTGCTGGTCTGAGATGACTTATTCCCTGTGTTTTCATGGATTTACTCAGCCTCTTTGTATTGCAAATTTCCTTCTAGCTCCTTCTTTTTTTTACTTTTTAATATTTAATAGTAATAAGACTTCCTGAAGACATGTACTACAACCATATAGAAGATTCTCTCATCAATATGATGGTCTTAGCATCTTAATATTATGTTCACAATTTAAGTCTATTTAGTAAAGAAAAACAGGTAAGATGAACAAGAGGTTCATATAAAGGAAATACAAATAACCAGTAACAATGGCATAATCAACCTCATTTGTTGTGGAAGAAATTCAAACTTAAAATATGGTATCACTTTCAGTTACATAGACCAATAGAAGGAAAGAACAAAAAAAAGATATCCAATCTTCAGATAATAGCAAGGCAATACCTACAGTTGACCAGAGAGTACAAAGATGGTGGTGTTCACACACAACTAACTGCAGTTTTTCAAGAGAAATATGGTAACATATACCAAGGTTGTTTGTTTAAACCCTTTGAACCAGTCATTCCATTTCTAAAACCTGCCTGCAGGATACATTTAAGCACGTCTCTCAAAATGCCAGTTTTCACTGTACTACTGCTTACACTAAAGACACAATTAAAACTGCTAACAAGGAAATGAGTACACTATGGTACATCTCCCTCAAGCCCAGTAGTGTTATCTCAATGAATTTCTCCCAAGACAGGCTTAGCTTTGCCTTTCAATAGTCTATTTTTGACAGTGGTAAAAAATGTCAGACATCTCAGTGGGGGAATCTTTGGGGGGGGTTATTCAACACTGATAAAACAAACATCACAACTCCAGCAGCAGTTTATTTTACTGCAGCTAAGGCAAAATGAGTACCATAATGCTAATGACAACTTAACCCTTATACTACGTGCCACACAGACATCATAAAAGACAATATCTTGAAATCACTAAGTCTACGCAACAAGAACAGTTACAAAGAGCAGATGTATTTTCTCAAAATTACAAAACACATGATCTCATTTAAAAAAGTTAATATGGATTCATTTGCAACAAATGTTTCTGGAATGGTAACTCAAGTGTTATGGTTGTTCTGTGAAAATGCTTGCCTTCAGCAAGTTTACACTTTTTTCTTTCTATAAAGCACATTTATCATTGGAAGGTTCTGTCATCATTTCTATCAATTTCAATTCTGGACAGTAAGAAGTAAACATGTTCAAAGGAGCCACTGAACTGGAAATCTGCTCTTTAAAAGCATTTGGGTCTTTAAAAATATTTTGATAAATAAAATTTGACCACATCCAGCATTTTATTTTAGTGAACACAGAAGACTGCCCCCTTTTCTTTTCTTTACTCAGGGATTCTATCATGACTTGGTACCATTTTGAATAAGAATTTCTTCTGTGAAGCAAAAACATTCCCAAAATGAAGGATCCTCAGGTGTCATAGGAAGAGCGGATGCTATCAAATCACTGAAGTTAAGGATGGTGAACTGCCTCTGGGATGGTTTAGAATCATCTTGACATGAAACACTTTGATGTCTAGATCCATCAGGTTTCCTAAGAGCCACTGCAACAAAATGTTGCTCATCTATTTTGCTTTCCTCAAAAGCACATTCTTTTTCTTCTTCCCCATCCAAGAACAAACGTGTTTCCTTATAAACCTGGCCTATATTCAAGTTTAGTGGAGATATATCAAATTCAAGTCGATGCATTTCAAAGCCCAATCCAACACCAATGGCTCTTATAAAGCTTTCTTTCAGTGACCAATGACGGTAAAACATATCCAGTTGAATCCATTCATCATTAAAACTTTTGATTGTTTCCCACTCCTTGTTGGTAAACTTTCTTTTCATAATATGAAAGAATTCTGGAATTGAACCACTACCTGGAAAACTAGTCTTCATTATATCAATGCCAGCTTGTAGCTCAGGTTCTGCAGCAAGAACTGCATAGTCCCCTTGATGTGAGATGTTGAAGCTCAAATTGGGATAGGGATTCAACGAGTCTTTGGCAAGAACCGGCTTTCCTTTTGAAATTCTCTGCAGATGAATGTAATTCCAAGGGATATTTAATTTCTCTGCAACTAACTTCCTTATCATCAGATGACCAGCCAGGGCCGCCTTGGTGTCGCGGGCAAACACTAACTGGCCGATGCATTCCTTCTCCTCGGGCTGGGTCGACCGCAACGCCAGTTCGACTGGGCAGCCAGGTGTCGCAGGAGAAGGCCCAGCGAACACCCTCCATGGCCGGCACGATGCACAGCCTCTTGGCGGGGAGCACCATGCACCTCCCAGGGCCTTCTAGCTCCTTCTGTAGGGCTGGATTTATAGATAGTTGTTTACATTTAAATTTACCATAGAATAGGTCATTGTCTTTATCTATGGTGATTGAAAGTTTCTCTGGGTGCAGCAGACTTGGCTGACATCTGTGGTCTCTCAGAGTCTGCAAGACATCTGTCTGGGCCCTTCAGGCTTTAAATGTCTTTATTGAGATCTAAAGGATATTACTAAAAGACCTTCCTTTAGATGCTATGTGGTCATTTTCCCTGGTACCTTTTTTTTTTTTTACTTTTTTTATTTGAATTACAAACAAGATATAATTACATGACAATCCCAGTTCTCTTTTCCCACACTTCCTCCCCTACCAACCCCCCAACTAAAACCCTACCTATCGCATATCCTTTCTTCTAATCTACACCTGACTCAAACTTTCTGCTCCCTCATGACCTCTGCATCCTTCCCCTTCTTCCATTCTCATTCTCTTAGCTACCTCCCCCCTCTTCCCATGCTCTCAATTTGCACAGGGGATGGTGACCCTTTCCCCTTCTCCAGGGGACAAAGTTTGTCTCTTTTAGGGTCCTCCTTGTTTACTAGTTTCTCTGGCAGTGAGGATTGTAGGCTGGTAATCATTTACTCTATGTCTAAAATCCACATATGAGTGAGTACTTACCACGATTGTATTTTTGAGATTGTGTTACCTTGCTCAGAATGCGTTCTTCTAGTTCCATCCATTTTCCTGAAAATTTCAGGATTCCATTGGTTTTTTTTTTCTGCTGATTAGTACTCAAATGTGTAAAAGTACCACATTTTCTCTATCCATTCTTCGGTTGAGGGGCATCTAGGCTGCTTCCAGGTTCTGGTTATTACAAATAGCGCTGCTATGAACATAGTTAAACAGATGTCCTTGTTGTATGAATGTGCTTCTTTTGGGTATAT